AGGAGTACCTATTTGACATATGTGTCAGTATTTTAATCTTTCATTAAATATTTACATTCAATACCCTGATCTTAAAGTGGGATTTTCTTTTGCATTAGAGAAAGGAAATAAATTATTACCTTAAATAATAGAGATACCCAAGTGGTATTCCTGCTTCAGACGTGGCTGGATCCAGAGGCTCAGAGTCTTCAGTACTCTTTCTCTTTCCATTTATCAGTAATAATTACCTCATAAGTGGCTTCATTCTTAGGCAGATTATCTCCCCCACAGTCCCTGGGTGCAGTTCTGGGATTACATCATCTTATTTTATGATCCAAGTATAGTGCTTCTAGGACTCCTGAGGACACTATAGAATCTGAATATTCTCAAGTCCCTCTTATAAAATTCATAGTATTTACATATGTCCTATAAACATCCTCCCATATACTTTAAATCATCTCCAGGTTACTTGTAATACCTAATGCAATGTGAATGCTATTTAAATAATTGTCACACTGTACTATTTTATTCATATTATTTTAGTTATGGTGTTGATTTTTAAATTTTTTTCCAAATATTTTTTATCCACGGTGGTCGAATCTGTATGTGCAGAACTCATAGGTATGAAAAGTTGACTAAAACATACTCACCCTCAGCATCCATTCTGTAAAACATTTTGTTTGGTTGTGACTAGGTCACATGGACACTTTTGAACCAATCACAGTGTGCTGGGTGCAGCAATCATGCATCTGCCTAGAACTAGGTCACTGACACATTCCATTGGAAGAGGTGGTTCTCGAAGAACAAAAAAGGATTTCTTACCAGAAGGAAGATGGGATAGAGATAGGTGAAATCAGCAGGGAATTGCTAGAAATCCCTCTTTTACTTATTTAGAGAAGTTTTTGCTGTAGGGTACGTGCGCTCACCAGAGAGACAAAAAGCAAGATTTAATCCCCCCCCCGGGGGGGATGGCCACACCACAGTCCCTTCTCCTCCGTTCTCCTCTGGGGATTTTGAGCATGCATGCTCACACACACACACCTGGTGTGTTTTAAGCTGCTGGGTCTTGGACTAGAACTGTGGTCAACTATGTGGGAGTCCAGTGATGTAACCATTACACCATCTACTGGTCCCAGAAATTCCCATTTTATATATATTTGTTATACTTCATATTTAATGAGATACATTATATATTGTATATGTGTTATGTGAAATAGGTAAGTGCATAGATATATAAAATATTTACATATAGAAGACTAGAGGAATTAACAGTATTTGAAGAGCAGTTGTCTTGAGCAAGAAGGTGGTTTCAGGGTACTGGTTTCTCCTTTTTTTCATTCTTTATTACTTCCCTGAAAACTTCATGTTTCTTACAACAAACAAATACTACTGTTAAACTTTAGGAGAAAGAGGTGTTATTTTTAAATTTTATGTGTCAAAATGTATGATTTACTTACTTGTCTATGTCATTTGAGGCAGAAGGTTTATATATCCTGGCTTGTTTATTTCATTTCAGGTGCTCTGAAGAGGAAGCCATTATGGGATGGATGAAGGATAGTAATGCAATACCTCCACCTGAAATTTGGGTGCATGTGTGTGCGTGAGAATTTGTATGCATGTGTGCGTGCATGTGTGTGTACATATGCATATATAAATATACATATATACACATACATATATCTATACATATATATGTGTGTATATATATATATGTGGAATATCCTAATGATGTAAAGTTTAATATTTATGTTTGGAAATTATTTATTGTGATGTAATATTTTTGTACGTAAAATGATTCTATTATGACTGCCTTTGCATTATTTTGTCCCTTGCAGTCAGACCACTGCATTTTACGTACTCTACATTATATGTAGTACTATGACAAAAGTGATCCTTCATTATCACGGTACACTATTGTTTACTTCTTATCTGTAAATTTTTTCTTGTTACTTTTTAAAAATTGTAATTTGTTTTTTTAAAACAACCTAGCCATCATCCAGGTGCTATGACAGTCATATTAAGGGTATTTCTGACACTTCTAGGAAAGTAGCATAAGCCAATAAGTAAGTTAGTGATAACACGATTGTACCAACTATTATGTTAAGAATCTATTCAGTTTCATGTGATCTCTGGGAAAAAATAAATGCTGCCTTGGTGCTAATAGAGTATGTATTTAAGTGACCTTCGGACTCAGAATTGTAAACACTTTTTTTTTAATTTACCAGTGGGCACATGTGTGCACCAGAGAGGGACAGAAAGAGAGAGGGGAGAGAGAGAGCATCCCCCAGTGGGGTGTGGTTATGCCACAATCCCTTCTCCTCCATCTCTCCATCTTGTCAGGATTTTGGGCACACACGCACATGCACCTAGTGTGTCTTTCAAGTCTCTGGGGCCAAGATTCAAACCACTTAGTCAGGTTTGTGGGATCCACCTCCTTTAACCAGCAGGCCACTGGGTCAATCCTGTAAACATTTTTTATAAAAAGGAGGAACAGAAGGACAATTTCCAATGGCAAAATCGCTTGGATAAAGTAAGACCAGGTATTTACCCTCATTTTGGACATGCTTTTTTAAAAGACTTGGACTTTGCTCTTGTTGTTATTGTTGATATGCTTTGCTTCAACCCACAGTGTCTTGGTTTCCCTGCAATCAAATGGAGAGAATAGCTTCATTTCAAAGTGACACTGGGAAAGAGGTATTCTCTTGCCATTTTGCTAAGATATTTTAAAGTCACATACAAGTTTACCAATAGCAAGACAACGCACAGAATGGGAGTGATCTTCACACCCTACCTTCTGTCACCTTTGGAGAAGTTCAGAACTAGGTTCTAGTCATCAAGATTGTATTCAGAGTGGAAACATAGACTGATGATGTGACTTCTCTTCAGGCCATGAACCTAACACTCTGCCAGTTTTCATAGTTGCTGTAGTGATTGACATTTGTGTGAAGAAATGAACTGTGGAGTTACAAGATGCTTGAGTTTTTCTGATCTTCCATTAGTCCACTTTCTGTTACTTCCCATTTTTTAACTGCCAGAAAGAAACCAGTGTAGGAGGGAGCAACCCCCCCACCCATGGGGCATGGTCGTGCCAGTCACTTCTTCATTTCTCATCCTGTTGGAATGTAGGGGATGCATCCACATGTGCCTGGTGTGTTTTTCAACCCTCTAAAGCTGAGATTCAAACCTTGGTTGGTCATTTGTGATCCAAGTCCTTTGGCCATTAGACTATAAGGTCAGTCCATGCCTTAACAAAATCAAGATGCTGATGCTGTCCTGTCTGTGCCTTCACTGTGACTGAAGAAAAGCCATCACCAGTGGCCCATCAGACACACTTGGTTTGAGAAGTTCTATTCATTTCCAAAAACCAAAGATACTTGGAAAGACCTGGCAGTGTTCTCCAACTCCTGACAAACTCCAGAGTGTTCCAGGAAGTTATACTCAGTGTATGAATAAGTCTTATTCTACATTACTAATACGTTTTAAAATATATTATCAATAAAAACTATGACCACATCCAAACATTGTTTCACATGGTTTCTGGAGTCTTGATTCAAGTTGGAATGAAAATGTCTCTAGTTTTTAAAAATGCTAGGTGAAGAATTGCAGATTATCTTTTTTCTTAATTGCCAATGGGGTTGTGCAATTGCCAAAGAGAGAAAGAGGAAGATAAGAAAACAAGCCCCAAGAGAGTATAGTCATGCTACAATCACTCCTACTCCATTTCTCCATCCAGTTAGAATTTTGGACATACACACACATGTACCTGGTGTGTTTTTCAAACCACTGGGGCCAGGATTTGAGCCATGGTCGGCCATGTGAGATTCAGCTCCCTTAACTACTCTCTAGGGCCAGTCCTAAAAATTAACTTCATTGTTCATTATTTTTCCTCAGCCAGAATCTAATCATAGGACCCACTTGGGCTGCAGAGCAGTGGGGAATTGGGATTGTTTCACATAGCATATTGCCATACGGAGTAGTATGAGGCCTCTCTTCTAGGAAAGAAGGAAAAATGGATTTGAGAGGCAGTTCGAAGTCTGTGCAACAGATCAACTACAGAGACCAAATTAAAAAGACCTGGAATTGTGACCATTGTAATAATAAAAACAATAGAGTGATATGGTTAGTAAAATCAACAGAAACTGACAACTGATAGATTTGGTGTGAACTGTGGAAGGAAGGGCCCTGGTAAAAATTTTAAAAAGAGGTTTTATTTTACTTATTAATAATAATATAACCATGGTAATAGGATGATGAATACTTGTATGAATGAATGTACAAGCCCTAGTGGCTTAAAAAATATGCTGGGTGCATGTGCATACCCCAAATCCTACCAGGATGGAGAAATATAGAAGACAGAATTATGATGTGACCGCGTCCCATTGTGAATTGCTTACTGCCTCTCCCTCTGTCAGTCTCTGTCAATTACATGCACCCTATAGCAACAACAACAACAAAAAAAAAAAAAAAAAAAAGAGAGAAGAGAGGTAGGGAAGGAAGAAAGGAGTGGGAAAGGGAGATGAGAGTGTCCAGTACCAGGGTGTGTTGCTGTTGTAAATAGGGTGGTCAGAAATTCCTTCTTTACAAACTTCCAGCTAGAGACATAGCTGTGGGTCAGTGTCAAAACCTGCCACCCATCTCAGTGGGCCTGGAAAATCGCCTGTCACCAACAGATGGCGGGAGAGGCCCTGCTCTGTCATTTTAATCTCAAATCCATGCTATCACATTGCTAAGCCTCTGATTTTTTTCTGCTGTTGTAGAAATGACTGTGCAGGGCGTGTCTGAGGTCTTTAGAGGTCCTAAGCCCTGAAAAGATCATGCTGCCACTCTCAAATATGGACCTCAAAGTTTAAAACTACAGACCACCAATGTTGTCTTTTCTATGTAGAATACTTTTTCTTTTAAATATCAAATATCAATTTTCCCATAAAACCTAAAGACCATCTTTGCTGTAGCCCTAGGCATGTATGTTTTTATCACAGTGATATCAGAGAAGGGCAAAAGAAGTGAATGTTGAAAGCACCGTGCCCACTTCGGCAGCACATATACTACACTTGGAACGGTACAGAGATTAGCGTGGCCCCTGCGCTAGAATGGAGCACAAGTTCATGACGCGTTCCATATTTTTAAAAAGGGGGGGTAAATAAGAAAGACATCCAATTACAACAGAAAAGGTAAAATAACTATATAGAAACGTACACCTTTACATGTAACTTGTATTCTGTGACTCTTTTGAGCTTAGAATTGAATGCCTTACAGGCCTTGATATAAATGTCACAGTGTGTTCCTGTGCAGAATGACAATCAATATTCAATTCATTGCATTTACAAGTTCAAAAACAGTTCTTCCTTAAGCTTTTGAGTTCCACTTACATATCTTATTTTACTTTTTTATCAGCCTAGTTGTTAGCAATATTTGGGTTGTTGGAAAAATCATGACACATTTTTGCATAGAAAAAAATGACTTTTCCAACAACCCAATACTTAAAAAAAATTTTTTTAAACCTTGTTTTTTATTGTCAGAGGGTGCATGTGCTCACCAGAGAGAAAGCATCCTCTCTTCACCTCCACCCTGACCCCCAGTGGTGCATGGTCATTCCACAATCCTCTTCCTCCATTCTTCCTTCCAGTCAGGATTTGGGGCACATGTTCATACATGCCTCACATGTTTTTCAAACAGCTGGGATTAGCATTTGAACTGTGGTCAAACATATAGGATCCATCTCCCTTAACCACTGTACCACAGATTCAGTCCCTAAAAAACTTTTGAATAATGTTAGCTTCATCCGTAATAATTAACAGGTTTAAAATCGTTTATATAGAACTTGTACATTTAGTGGACTTTATTTCTGTATTAAATCCTTCAGTTACCTGATGTTAACAAAACTTTCTGAGCACTTAAACTTCTTATACTTTAAAAATACAAATTTTACACAAATCAATGGCCTTAAAATTTTTATATATCCCAAAATTAAAAAATAATTTAGTATGGTGAGGTTTTTTTGGGTTTTTTTGTTTTTTGTTTTTTGGGTTTTTTTATATGTAGAGATTTTTGTTTTAAGGCATGTGTGCTCTATGGACAGACAGAAAGTGAGAAATCAACACACCCCCCCCCCACTCCCGGGGGGATGGCCATGCCACAATACCCTCTCCTCCATTCTCCTCTTGGTATTTTGGGCATGCGCACACACACATGCTCAGTGTGAGTTTCAAGCCTCCAGGTCCAAGACTAGAACTGCAGTAAACTACATAGGAGTCCAGCAATGTAACCATTATACCATCTGCTGGTCCCTAATTTAGTATAGTTTTGACTTAAAATCACAAATCTAAATCAAGTACTCATTGACACATTTTACATTGGCATTATAAGCTGCCACTCTAATAGTTCAAGTTGTTAAAAATCATGACATTATATAAACTTTTGAATTTTTATGCACTTTTAACATTAAAGATCTTAATACAATGGTTCTAATTCTCTTAAACAACTTTATATCTTAAACTGTATTCTTAGCATGAATTAAGTTTGTGCACTCATGTACCTATTGCAGACACACATATTCCTATTGGCATAAATCTGAAGCAGGAGCTAGCAGATGGCATTGGTGGTTAAGTGGGCTAGGTCCCCACATGGCTGACTGCAATTCAAGTCCCGGACTGGTGACTTGCTTTCTCGCTTTCCCTTTCTCTCTGACCCTCTCTGGTCAAATTAAAAAATAAGAAGAAGAAGTGGAATTAAATAAATTGTTTTTAAAAATCTGAAGCAGAAAATAACCAGGGTGATTCTTTTCACTCCAACTAAGGGAACTGTTGGATCATATTAGCAAATTTTAGGAATACCTTCTGTATTCATTTCTCATTTGCTGCTGTAACAAATTATCTGAAACCATGTGGCTTAAAGCAACACACATTACATTCCTGGAGGTCAGCCACAGAAAATGGGTCAGCAGGACTGATTTCCATCTGAAGGCTCCAGGTGAATCCGTTTCCTTGCTTTTTACAGATTATTATGGTTTGGGTAATGGTTTGTCTCCCAGTGTCTCACATTTTGGAATTTTATCTTAGGAGATGCCCTTTGGAAATGTAACTGTTGGGATTTGATTATATTGCACTGGTGTTAAAGTGAAAACTTAATTCATGGTGTCCAGAGATTGGGCCTTTGGTTCTGATGTCATTAGGGCAAGGCCTCCATGAGTAAATTCTGGTGGGTTTATGAGCAGAGAGAAAATCTCATGGATATAAACCATGCTCTGCTCTGCTGTAACTTCTGCCTTCTGCCATTTTGCGATGCCTTTGGACTTCTGGCACCAGAACTGTGAGTCCAACAAAATACCTATTTTATTAAATTCACCCAGTCTCATCTCTGCTGGCAACACAAAAATAGACTAGAACAGGGCTTCTGAGGGCTGCCCACATCTTTGACCAATAGCCTTTCCCTCATCTTCACAGCAGTGTGGCATCTTCACATCTCACTCCATGTGCCCTCTGCCTCCATCATCATCTGACCGAAAAGAAGTCGCCTCTTTCTGTGATTATATTGCCCCCCCCCCACCAGGTAACCCAGGATAATCTCCCATCTCAAAATCCTTAATTTACACATGCAAACTCCCCATTGCCATGTAAAGTTTACAAGTTTCAGAGATTAGGATGTGAATGTCTTCGGAGGTCATTGTTCTAATGTCTTTTCACCAGATACTTAAAGACCAGAAATATTGGCCATATGTTTACTTGATTTTTCAACTCTCCAGTGGGCCACACTGGGCTTTATGTCAGCAACTCTCACCTTCAAAGGAGGATATTCTCATAGACCAAATTTCTAGATGCAAATTTCATGTAATTCCTAATTTTTCTGTCTGCATTTCAAAGTCGGAAGCCACTGGAATGCTTGATTGGTTAGATTTTTGTGTGTGCCTTTTATATCTAAATATCTTCCTCTCTTTGTCCAAAGACTTTTGAACTTGACAAGAATTCCATGTTTTAAGATGTACTTCCTAGGCCGCAGAACTCTATTGGTGCTAAATGGTGGTGCTGTTAATTCTGAATATCTCTGGTGATTTTGACCTGATGTCAAGGCTTGTAGAGCCTCTTTCAGGATATGACAGCTTTTTGGAACATTAGCTATTATTATTCCACAGAGAGACATTTGTGGGTATACTTGGTAGTGGTGCCTCTTCATCTTTCTTGCTGGGCCAAGATACTTCTTTAGTGCTTCCTGCAAAGTTTCCCACAGAATGGGTACACATCTGGGAGTTTCCCAATTTCCAGCAAAGCCAGGGCAAAAGCAGACTTCAGGGGGACTTGTGTGGTTTCCAGACATACTCCTGGCTTCATGAGTATCTCTAGGGGTGAAACTGCCTTTTTTAACAGGTGCCCAGAAAACCTTCATGCACACCAAGGACACCCACCTTGTAGTATGCTTCTTCTCACACAGTATTGGGAATCTTAGGCAGAGTAAACATCTCTTACTCTATCACTCTAGCTCTTCTGTGCATGTAGTCGGCCCCACAGGCTCTAGAACAAGGGGCTTGTCTCAGCCCACAACTCCACGGCTGTGTAACAGTGGACAGGCCTCTTAGACTCCATCACATCGGCTTCCCCTTCAGTGAGATAAGAGATGGTAATGGCTGCTGTGAGGCTTTAGCATGCTTGTACATTTAAAGCATTCAGAATAGGCCCTGGCATGTAGTGGTACTCAGTATCTCTTGGCTATTAGAAAATATATGTAACTAATGGATGAATGCTACATAAAATCTATGCCTTAGTTTAAGGTGCTATTATGCTATTATGTGGAGGTGCTGGCCCCAAATTACCTCAACTTCATGACCTTGAGTTGAAAAACCTGGATTTTCCTATCCTAGATTTTGTTTACTCATACAATACTGCAGTTCTTCTTGTTTCCTTTTTTTTGGGGGGAGAGGTTTTTGCTATAGGGTGCGTGCGTTCCCCAGACAGACAGAGACAGAAAGACAGAAAGCGAGAAATCACACCACCACCACCACCCCCATGGGAGATGGCCACGCTGCAATCCCTTCTTCTCCATTCTCCTCTCGGGATCTTGGGCACACACGCACACGTGCCTGGTGTGAGTTTTAAGCCACTGGGTCTGGGACTCAAACCACGGTTGGCTACATGGGAGTTCAGCAACATAGGCATTACGCTAACTGCTGGTCCCGCTCTTGTTTCCTTTTTCAAACTGTGAACTAAAGTTGTAAATCAGAGGATTCATGATTAGGAGGCCAGAGGTGGTATGGTAGTTAAGGCACTAGACTCCCACGTGGTTGACTGTGGTTCTAGTCCTGAATTTGGCAGCTTGGAAATCACAATGGGCACATGTGTATGCATGCCCAACATCCCAAGAGGAGATTGGAAGATAAAGGACTGCAGTGTGCCCATACCCCCTGGGAGGGGTGATTTCTCACTTTCCATCTCACTGTCTCTTTCTGTCTCTCTCCAGTGAGTGTACATGCCCTATTTCAAAAAGGGGGGAAAAAAGGATTAGGAGGGACCTAAAAAGGTATTTAGATTAACAAAAATAATAACCACATTACAAAAAAATAACTATATTTGTTGACCATATCTTAGTCTGTTTAAGCTGCTGTGACAAAATACCATAGACTGGGTGGATTATAAATAACGAATATATTTCTCACAGATAAGGGAATGAACTGAGAAGTTCTTCACAGAGCTTCATAATTTCTCACAGGCTGGGAAGTCCAAGGTCAAGGCACTGGTAGATTCAGCATCTGCTGAGGGCCCCCTTCTTTTTTTTTTTTTTTAAGAGAGGTTTTTGCTACAGGGTTATAGGGCACATGTGCTCACCAAAGAGATAGAGAGACAGAAAGCGAGAAATCACCCCCCAGGGGGGATGGCCACGCCACAGTCCCTTTTCCTCCATTCTCCTCTCGGGCACACACATGCACCCAGCGTGAGTTTAAGCCACCGGGTCTGGAACTCAAACTGCGGTCAACTACATGGAAGTCCAGCGACATAGCCATTACACTAACTGCTGGTCCCGAGGGCCCCTTCTTCATAGACAATCATCTCACTGTCACCTCACATGGCAGAAGGGCAAGGGATTCCTAAGTGTACTAATCCCATTCATAAAGGCTTATGACTCAGTCACCTCTCAAAG